CCGCAAAACTCTTGAAACCGATTTGTCCCTTTCGATGTGATATGTACAGTCATGCATATAAAATTATTCAACAAGTCTAACTTGTCAATGCGTTTTAATGTGTAACATCCACCTTAGCCGTTGTTTTACGAATCATTTCTCGTTTCTCGTCGTGATTCTGCTGCTTACAGCGCCATCTGTTGCTAACTTTTGAAACTAAAATTTTTTCTTCTGCCATACGCTTTCCGCCTTCTTCAATAACATTCGTTTCAAATTTCACATCATTTTCATCAGTGGTTCTTTTTTTATAGCGTTTTGAAACTTAAACTTTAATTATAATCACCCTGTACTTGATTTGGCTCATTTTGTTCCTCGAAACTTACAATATAATTGGTTTCTGAAATTTTCTGCTCTATTTTTCCAGGTCCTTTCCACTGTACTTCTAGTTTATTTTGACGATTCGTTCATAAAACAAGAACTAAATCTCCTCTAGCAAATTCTCTTTCGATCTCAGCCTCAGGAGTTCGATCTCAGCCAATGGTAAACAGGTTGGATTCAAATCTAATGGCTGTTGCACCCACACATTTTCACCTGTCAGCATTTCCAGCGTGGGTACTTTTCCGTTTCGCCGGCGCAAGTCTCGCCAAGCAGACTTTGTTGGCGACAGCATACAGTATACATATAAAAAATGTTAATAAATGTTAGTTCTAAGAATTTTTTATTTTGAAGGCATAAACATTTCAATATGGTTTAAAATTTTGTAAAAAAGCTAGTAAATAAAGACAATACATTTGTGAAAAGACATTAATTTAAAATTTACTATGCTTTCATGCTTCAACATCCTGATTCGCCGGTTCGTATCACGTGACCCCAAGTAATCTCATCTGACGTAAACTACGCTACAAAAACTAATTCTCTCAGTAATTGTCTACATTAATTTCACGTTAAATCTTAATTTGGAATACAAGTTTAAATGCAAGAATAATGTTAATTCGTACGTTAATTGCATCCTAATTGACTTAATTACCGCGAATGTTCTTGGGGCATAAAATTTAACTATCTAGCAAAAATGCTATGTAATTGTATACCAATATTGAAAGAAACAATCAGTCTGATAAGAAATGGCTGCGACTTGTTTTGAAAATGAGCCGTAAAAGGTTACCAGTGAAGATATTCCGTTTGGCATCAGTTGTACCATTACTGGCGACTTTATCGTTTGCGCCGGCAAAACGGAAAAGTACCCCGGCGTGGTGTATTTGCGACAAACTATATCAATACTAGCACCTGAATCCCTTAATATAGGAATTTTATGACCATTTACGTAACCCATACTAGTATAAGGTAATAGAAATTTATCCTCTGGTTTTGCACTAATTCTGTTAAGATTAGCAGGAGATTCAGTACTATTCTTAAGTTTTGGACATTGGGGTCTTAAATCTTGATAGGACCCACACTGATAGCATTGTGGCATTTTTCGTTTTTCATATTTATCATCAAGACGTGGACTTCTAGGTCTATGAAACCAGCTTTGCGAATTAAATCCTGATGACAATTTTTTTTCAATTTTATTTTTATTATCTGAACTCAATTTACCTTGAGTTAGTGCATTGTATCTTTCTTTCTGCCGATCCACTACAGGCCTTTTTTGAAAGTTTCCGCAAACATTTTCGTAGGCATCAAGTTTTTCAGCTAATTTTTTAGATGAAATCATCTCTACCCATTCATCAAGAAAATGATATCGAATTTCAGGAGGAACTCGACGTTTAAGTTGGTCAAGCACCATCAAATCTAGCAACTGATCAAAAGTCTTAACTCCTAGACCAGTCACCCATTCTTTGCAATAATTTTCTATTTCATAATTGAAATCCACCCATGTGGATTCGGTACTTTTTTGATGTTTCATAAATTTTCTGCCTAAACTTTTCCGGGCTTAGTTTAAACCGTCTTAACAATAAATTTTTTCACGTGTTCATAGTCTTTAGCTTTATCGGAGGGTTCTCTAGCTATTAACTGGGTTACTTCGTAAGGAAGTAGTCCTAGTAAATGAGATACAAATTCTTCTTTATCAATTTTAGCCCATTCTGCTTGCCTTTCAAACAATAGCAAATATAGACTGATATCTCCTTTCTTGTCATCGAATTTCTGCATAAGGTGACGCAGCTGCTCCGTTTTTCGGCCGGATCTGTCCGGTATTTTGAGACTTTGTCTCTGCTTCAAGTCTTAATCTCTCTAATTCAAACTGTTCGTTCCTTTCTTCTCCGCTCTTCTGCTTCTTCCTGTCTCCTACGTTCTTCTCTTTCCTCCCTCCTCGCTTTTCTTTCCGTTCTTCTCTTTCATCCCTCTCTTTCTTCTTTCTTCTCTTCTCTTTCCCTTTCCTCCCTCTCTTTCCGTTCTTCTATTATTGTGTCTAAGACTCCTTTGACGAAGACTTCATCATAAATCTCTACTTTCAACAATTTTCTGTTTTAAATCAACTATTTTCAAATCTGCAGTCACATGAACTCCCAGTTCAGCTGCGAGATTTTGCAAATCTTCTTACGAGCTCTTCCTAAGTAAGACATTGTTTCTTTTCTATGTTTAAAATTAACGAACACTGTGTTCCTTATATTCCTCAAAATTCCTCAAAATAGCTCGAAAAAAAAGCGTATCCAAAATGAAATATTTAAATTATATGAAGTTCATTCTCTCTACCACATTAATTGTGATTAAAATAAGAATAATAACATAGAGCAATATATATATCTACCGTATGGATAACTAAAATGAATATTAAATATAATACCAAATACGGTAATAAAATAAGACAATTTATTATTAACAGGAAGTAATAATCTGGTGTCACTAATATTGCGTTCAGTGATGAACTAATAAAATAAAGCAATTCTATATGAACAGGAAGTAATAATCTGGTATCTCTAATATTATGTTCAGTGATGAACTAATAAAATAAAGCAATTCTTTATGAACAGGAAGTAATAATCTGGTATCACTAATATTATGTTCAGTGATGAACTAATAAAATAAAAATACGCACGATTATTCGATCTCGCCGGTGCCTCCAAAATAATTAAGACTGTAATACTTCTTTGGCGAAATGAAGCAACTCCAATGATGGAACACAGCAATAACTTTATTTAACACTCAAAAAATGGCGACATACAAACAAGAAGAGAAAACATATTCTATAAACTTATTTTAAAAAAAAATAATTACATGCTTCGTGCGAGAAAATGTATGCAGCTCTCGAGCCTGCATTTCAATATTGCCAGTAATCTGTACATTATTTATTATTCATCTATTTCAAATGCACGAGAGATTAATAACGATATTAAAGCTGTTACAGTTACATTTCATTCATTTTTTAACTCAGAATGCACAAAATTTATATCATAAGAATTATCTAATCGTTGCCAAATATTCTAATCAAATATTATAATAAATCTAAAACGATGTATAAAAGAAATTAAGCAAAGAGCAACAACAAAAGGAAACAGTTTTCACAGACGATTCAGTATTTCTCATTCAGATAATTCAGTTCTCACTTCTCGATAAGACAAAAATACATTAAAACTCAAGATGTCTGTATTGAAAATTATGAAGTAAATCTTAAACACTTATTTCCTCGAATAAATTCCAGAATGGATTAAGCATGATTTAATTCGAAATAATAAAAGAAGGCATTATCTTTGTTATTGCGAAGCTTACTTTCTCTAGATTGGCAACAAATCTCTTATTTTGCTGTTTCAAATGTAAACAAGCAATGGCCGCCATGGAAAAAAATATTAGGCTTAGCGGCAGTTAAAAAAAACTCTTAAGTTGTTGATAATTCTAAAAATATTGCATACAGATTCCCTAAAGGCATAAAAACCTTAACCGGAAGATAAGAACAGCATAATTCAATCATTTTTAAAGCAAAAAATGCACAATTTACAAACATATAAGAATAAAGAAAGTGAGATCACTGAGCCGAGTAACAGATTGGATATATATATATAGTATACAAAATTTATATACTTTTGGTGAAGGCGATTGCAATAAAAATATGAGTTCTACATGTTATTGCAGGCCTATATATGAAATTTCAACGTTCTGAGGCTACTCATTTTTGAGTTATGCGAGATACATACGTACGTACGTACGCACAGACGCCACGAAAAATTCTCTTTAGAATTCATTTTAAATTAGTTTTACAATTTTTTTTTGGGGGGGGAAAGAGTCCTTTATCCTGTCCTTACGTACAGATGTCACGCGAAAACATCTTTAAATTTCATTCGATAGCGGTGAAATGGATATTTGCGTTGAAATATGATGCCCGAAACTTTTCACGATTACAATACTTCCTTTTTACTTCGTACAAGGAAAAAAACTGATTTTATACAAGGTCTTGATATTTATCAGCAATATCTATACTTTTGATTGTTTAATTTATAGAACACATTAATAAGTCATCTAAATATAGATAAATATATGCATTTGTTTTTCGAGTTTTGGGAAAGGAGGGAAAGAATGATCTTCTAGCAATGGTGAAAAGGGCTCCTGATCTAAACCAATAATTTAAAAATCTCATGCAAAAATCAAAAAGCAAATAAATAATAGAAATAATTATTTTATGAAAAATGTATTTTGAAACTCAAAAATAGTAAAAAATTTATGAATATTTAACATAACCAGTTTTAATTAAGAAATTCAGCAGTAATTGCAGGTAATATTATTGAAGAACAATTTAGAGACATTGGAAAAGAGCTGATCTGATTTGTACTATGTAAAATGTGGAGTTAAAGTAAATAAATTGTTTTTATCTCATCACTTCAAAAGACAAACTTTGAATAAATACAAATATTTTTGAAATTTATATATTGAAATATTTAATTTTATAAAATTTATATATTTGAAATTTGTATATTTAAGTCTAATAAATACTCATTGGTTTTTATCTTATTTATTAACCGCTTAATATCCTGAAGCTCAATATCCTAGAGAAAGTACAATGATTTTTTTGTGGTTGTTGTTTTTTCTATAGATGAGTATCCTGAAAATATCTCAGATGAATATCCTGAGAAAGTATCAGATAAATATTCTGAGAAAGATAATGATGATCTTTCTGAGGAAGAAAATGGTTATGATTCTGAGGAAGAAAATGACGATGATACTGTGGAAGACTATGACGATGATGATTTTGAGGAAGAATATGATGAGGATGATTTTGAGGAAGAATATGACTATGATACTGAGGAAGACTATGACGATGATGATTTTGAGGAAGAAGATGATGATGATGATTCTGAGGAAGAAAATTATAGGAAATGTTCTCCGAAAGAAGCATATGAATACCATGAGGAAGAACATGATCAGGACTATTCTAAGAAAATGTAAGTAGTGATATTATTACTTGTATATTTAAATTAATTGAAATATTTAATGATGACTTCATTATAGTATGTAAAACAAAGCTCAAGAAGACAGTCGGTTTTTCTTCATCAACTACTCGTGCTGCCTCACAGAAAACTTAGGAATTTTGTTATGTAACAACTATATTTTAGTGAAGGACAAGAGGAATTTAAAACGTAATACTTTATTTTAATTATAATCCGTCTATATTTTCTTTTATTTGTGGTAGAGAGAATAAGATTTAAAAGGAAGAATATTTAAAAGTGTAAAAGGAATTATTAATAATTGATATAGTCTAATAAGAAAGTAAATTAAAGTAATTTGATAAGTTTTGTAAAAGAAATATATCTGAAAGCTATTGTTTTTTTAATTTAGTCGACTTCATAAAGGAGAGTTAATACAAAGCAATAAAATAAGTAGTCTAAATATTCGTATAAAATTGTAAAAACGATTTTGTACTTACTTCATTTAATTTTAATATTGTTGCGTGCGTACGGGTTCGTTATGAAGTGAATGCACAAGTCCGATGAAAAATGAACAAAACTTTTTATTATCACAACAAAAATGCTTAAATTTTCTCAAATTATCATGCAGTATTACAATATCTCACAGTAGTTATCTTTTAACTACTCAAATGTACAATAGAACGTAATTCAAAACAGCTAAAGAACGCTAATCCGCGAATTCGCTATAATCAACAACAGCAGTTTTCTAAACAACAACAAACTAAGCAACTACTCCAAACTGAGATGTTTTCCTCCTTTTTATAAGATTTTAAAATCACGCGCTAGAATTTTCCAGTACTTTCTCGAAATCAAAAAGAGATATTTATTTATTTAATGCACGCGCTCTTGTATTTTCAATTTTCCGGCTTAGCTTTCTTTTAATATTCGTCACGCGCTGCACTGCGCGAGAAATAAAACCATTTAATTTATAATTAAACTAACATTAGCTTTTTAAATACCAAATTCGTAACAATATTATCTGTTATGTGCCAGCAGTAGATTTCGTATAAAAATCTAGAAAGATTCACAGGCTGTGAAGCAGATCTTTTTATTATCAAGATGAAGCTACGAATCTCTTCTCAACCTGAATAATCGAAGAAGGGTATGTTTCCCGTTGATTAGATCAGTATTATTATGTGGATCTCTGCTGAGTACCTTTCTAGGAGAAAGGAATTCACTAGTTTGTAAGTGAAGGCCTAATAAAAAGAACAGTAAGTGCTCTGTGATAGTTGAAGAATGTTACTTATCCTCAGACACGTCATCATTAGTGTATAAAATAATGATGTAATTACCATAGAGCGTAATTTCACTTGGGTTCTGATAATTCGTTATTTGTAAGTTATTCTCATTTTTTTATGGTTTATATCTTATTTAGTCTTACGGTGTCATACCATCTTCATAGCCTTCTTTTGTTTCTTGAATTGGCTACTGTTGTGCCTTCTGTTATAAAAATTAAAAGAAGTGATGCAAAAAAATGTTCTTTCTTTTCTGGATTTTCAGAAATAATACTTTGATACCTGATCATGTAATTAGTTTAACAATTTAATTTTTAAGCTTATTGTGGAATTCATTAATCTTATTCAGAAAGAGAATTTAATTTTCTTGGAGGTTAAAGAGCTATATTATGATGATCTACGAAAGAAGTATAGTTTAACAGTAGAAAATACAATAAAACGCATATTTTATTGTGTTACCTGCTTAAAAAATAATAATGTTGTTATTTCTGCGAAACACGATAAAACCATTAGCCAAAACTTTCTGTATGATGCAGACTGTGTTAAAAACAATTCTGACATACAGTCAGCACTGAGATGCATATTTCAGAGAGGAAACACCATTGTATCATATATTAGCAAGAGATTAATTCTCGTCAGCTCATATATGTTCGTATATGTTCGTATGCCACTTATTTGTCAGAAATGACAACTAATAAAAAATGTGAAGCAAGTTTTAAATTTTCTCCAATAAAGTGTTGTAGCATTTGAAGATATCTCTAATAAATCGTTTACGAAAAAGATTGGAAACTGCGTAAAATATCATTGCGTAGTAATTAATTTACAAAATAGAAAAATCATCAAACTATATCCATATGTGTAAAATTATTTTCAAATTTCTTAGGATGACTTCAGTTCGAGTTTGGAACAAGAAAGCTCATCAAGCGAAGTTTGCTTAATCAATTATGCCAAAGTGCACAGAAGTTTTATACCTAGAGGAAGAGAAACCTTTTTAAGAGTCATTGGCTTGTAATTACGTTTACATTTAAGGAAAATCACAAAATGTCTATGTACCAACCCAAACATTTAGATTCGAATTTAGGTCAAACTACAAGTATCCTGCGGTTTTTTGAGCTTACCCACTGGTATAAAATTCTTGAACTGTTACAGCTGAGTGAAATTAACTATGTTCTGCAAATTAAGTATTGTTACAGTTGTTTTATCGAGATATTATCGTTTGTGCTCTTTTCATGCTGTTATTATCGTGGCAGTCACGTATATTAATCCATCTCAGCTATAAGATCAGCGATTCACAAACTTTTCACTTTCTCGTACCTCTTAATATAATTTTGTAATTCAGAGTACCCATTAACCTTCCCTTTCAGAACTATGACCCACCTCCCTCACCCTCTTACAGAATTCCCGCAATATATCTTATTCATTATCGTTACTCAGGTTATCTCATGCATGCGGACATGCGTATAAATTTGAAATGATATAAAAATAATTATTATTTTTTAACTCATTCGTATAATAAAATCCTTATTAATTACTTTAAATACGCAATTTTGCATTTCGGCATCGATTTTATTTATAATCAGAAATTTAAAACAGAATGGATTGAGCTTTGTTGTGTTTTCTCTAATTCGTTTTCTTCATGCGCTGCTTAGACCAGTATACACGTTAAACATGGGAAATCCACCAAAATGCCCATGCAGCCACCCCGTTTGTCGGCTTTGAAGCTCGGACAGAACTACAGTGTTCAGCGACCGCTCGGCCGCTAGTGGGGCTCCATTAAAATATGCAAAGTTGTAGAGACATTAGGATTTCTTTTTGAAAGTAGGGAAGATGAAAAATGAGCAAACGCTTTCTCCAAGTATCGAACCACGGACCTCTGGAATACCGGCCCAGTGTGCAGAACCACAAAGGCACGCTAGAAAGGCGGGAGAAATACCTTATAAAGTTACTTTATTAATTAAGAACATGATCAGCTATATCTCTAGAAAAGCAGGTTCATGTTGGGAGAAATAATGCAGAAGGAAGCCACCGATTCTGTAGTGAATGGCCCTGGATGTAAGCCTATAAGCATTCTAGAAATAGGGTTATGTCACAGTAAAACATTAAGTCTGTAAATTTTTAAAGTGAATTAATATATAACTTCAAACATACTAAATTAAAGATCGAAATTAAGACTAGATCTCGGAAGGTTCAGTAGATTGTTCTCGTCAACATGTACAAAAAAAGGGGGGGACGTTTTCTAATTGCTAATTACTGTCTATTCGAAAATCATCAGACGTGTTCTTGTTTCTCCAAGAAATTGTTAATATTGCAAATACATTTTTCTGAAAACTTGCATTGACGTCAAATTTTCAGCAATTGTAAAATAGTTATTTTGATGGTACCACTTTTAATGGTACTATAATTCATTCTATAGGACGCTTCAATCACATTTTCATGATCTTAAATGACGACAGATAAAACTTTACACTAGGTCTTTCAGAAAAGAAGTTTATTAATTTTTATTTATAATTGGAGTATTTAGTTTCTAAATGATGCAACTGCAACGAAGGTTGCATACTTCCATTTGATAAAACTTATTTACTCGTAGGTATGTACACAAAGAGAACTGGGGCTTTCCTGGTATCTTATGAAAAAAACCCATATTGCACATTCATCAGATTATTTTCTTTTCTTCTAAGAAGAACTATTTTTTGGAATTTTCTTGCTACTATTCAGCCTCTCTCTTACCAGAGCAATAATTTTATTCCAGGTGATGCTTTCCAATGCTTGGCGCAGATGCTAGAGTAAAGCTATTATCCTTGGCAATTCGTTACTTTTTAATCACCTAACCATTTATTTAAACGAACCTTACAGTTAACAATTCTGAAAAGGATAAGGACTCCACACTGTAAAAATTTGACTGCAATATAACTGCAAAGAAACACAGCTCAAACCTTGCATTGGGTAAGTTATCAAACCTAACATTGGGTAAGTTATCAAACCTGACTTGATAACTTACCCAATGTTAAAAATGCTTCTGGCTGCCAATCTTTATACGACTGACTAAGTGGGAAAGAGGTTGGCTGAATATGACGAGTAAGGGAGGAATCGAGAAATATAATTAGAGTCTGATGGGATTAGTTACAATTAATTACATTGCTTTCGAACATATTTTTATCAGTAATGGCTCCATTGGAGTTCTTCGCTATTAACCTCAGGCGCTGTTGCCCTCGGGAATGTCTTCGTGCAAAACATTCTAAGGGAACTTGATTCGTATATACTTTACAATGAGGAAAACCGCGAAAATGCCCATGCGGACAGCCCATTCGCAGGATTCGAGCCTCTGACCGAACTACCAGTATTCAACGAGTTTACCTCTCAGCCGATGGTGGGCCCTACTTTATGTGAAAGAATAACGAGGTATCAGAAACATAAACTAAAGCGATGCTTAAGGTTTCTGCTTTTTAATTTTTATATAAATTTAGCATTATGTTAGCTTCCTGAGGCAAATCACTCTGCATATTATAAAATTGTTAATAATAGATCATTTAACTTTATTTTTCAATCTAATTACGCATATTGGAACACATTCTCGTTTTTACTCATTGTGCATCTTCGTTTTCAGAGCCAAGCAGTGTAGAGCTTTAGGGGAATGTTGTTGGCTTCATAAACAATGCTGCGGAGAAGATACTCAGTGTCTATGCGACTTTACTGGTGGCAACTGTAAATGCTCTCCAAAAGGCATAGTGACATAACAAATTAAATATTCATAACCCATAAATGTCCATGGGAAACATTATTTAAGAGTTTAAATAAAGTTATGTATTCAGAAACCTTCTTTAGTTGCTGCATTTATTTTCTATTTAAACTTCTCTTTGATAATAATCAAATATAATATATGTATATTAATATTCTTCTGTTTGAAGTACATGTTAGGTTTCATATTTATTCTTATTACTACATACAAAGTAATTCACTATGGATAACTCGGATATCGAATTACTATCTTAACTTAGAAAGTAATTAAGAAGGATTAGAGGTTTAGAGGTTTTTAATACCAAACTTCTAAATCAGTCATCTCCATTAAAGAATGAGTTTTACACTTGGTGTAAAAAGTATTTGTACTGAAGAATTTCTATTTTTAGTTCTTTAGACTTTACTAAAATTAGCTTTTAAATGCTGTAAATTATGATATAAATATGAAATATAGCAATACAGAACTTTTAAAAGAACTTACTTACTTGAACTTACTTGAATAAATTGCACAAATGCAATAAGATACACAGAAATTTTACTTGATCGCTAATAAAAAGAATAAATTCAGACTAAGTTCGTTAGTATTCAAAATCATGTTTATACATAAAATAATTATTAAGATAGACAAGCGCTAAGTATTTCTACGTAAGTACTTTTATATTTGTGCTTATTACCAAGTAACAAATATCCATCATTAATTTAGTGTAAAATAATCCAACCGATTTTAAAATGAATAAATTTTCAGAACAAAGTGGCAGTCATCCATATAAAGCAATTTTAAATCATATCTTACATATTCATGAAAAGTACTTAATAAGTTCTAAACTTACCATGTTTTTCTACCCAGTCCCTATCAGTATACTTAGCAGATTTCCTAGCTACTACTAGCTTCGTGATTTTGTGAGGCGACGGTTTTGCCAAAATCTGCAGAACAGCTTTCAATAATTTTATATTTCTTCATCACCAGATTAGTTGCCTCGCATGTGCTTCTATAAATAATTAAGTAGATGAAGTTAATCTCTATAAGGCCTATTCATCAATGTTAATTATGAAATATAGTTCACAAAAAACTCCATTCGATTTCTCTTTAATCCAGGCTTCAGAAACTCTCGAACCCTTCGAGAACATATCTTAGGAATATATATGTATATATATTTGCGCAAGTTAGTCACCGCAGTCCTAATATAAATTCTGTTGTAGAGGGAAATTTATGTGCCTAATAAACATAACATTATCTTCAGCTTTGAAGCACGTTTTTCAGCTGACTATTTGAGCAACGGCCATTTCCGATGCGATCAGTCCAGTTGGAAACAAGAATTCCAATCTGTTAACGTTCGCATATGAAGAAAACGATTCTTCATATTCACTGTCGCCTATTTTTCTAGGTTGTTCCTTCATTGGTATAGAATTCGAAAGCAGTTAGCAGTAGCTTTTCTCGTATATTTTCCCTTTATTAACATCAGCATAGTATTTTTATAAATATTAATGCAGACAGACAAATAAGGATAAACATACCGACAGAAAAGGCACTCTGATGCAAAAATGTAATACCCAAATGACATTGCATGACCTTACGCTATGGCATCAGCTAGCAGTCTCCAGAGACATATTTCAAGCCTTCTAATATATATAAAAGATCTTTGCCGACATACGGGAATCTTTAGATAGGATGGAGTACAAGCTTATTTATAACCCCTAGCAATACATAAAACACGTATTTTGTCAGCATTCATGTTGCATCAGTGTCTTAAGTCAATCTGCATCCGATAGAATTTTGGTTCTGGAATCCATTCAACGGATGAAATGCTGATCCTAATTCAGTTAACACGTACTGGAATACCAAAATTCAAGGAAGTAAAAATACGTAAAGATGCATCCATCCGCTCGCCTGACTTAACCTTTGAGTGAATATGGGACACTGGTAGCTTCAAGGCTTCAATACATAAATCGCTATTTAGAATTATCTTTTTTAATAGATTTATCTCTCTAAAAAACAAATTCAAAGAAAATGGTGCATATTGTTTGAAAAGATAGAATAGTAAATGAGTAAAACAGAAGCAGTATGATAAGTAAAACTCCATCTGTTTAAAATAGTAATAAGTTTCCAAAATGATTTTCTTTTTACTAGCTCAAAGTCTCATTCAGAATTACTTAAAGTAGTTATAAAATTTCGAATTTTTCTAATTGCATCATCTGCAGACAGTGAAAAAATCCGCAGTTAAGAGGAAAAACGAAAAGCAGAGATGCTTACAGTATTTTCTAATAATAAGACTTAACTTGTTCATATTTTCAGATTACCAATTGCAACTTGTCGCGTTTCTATCCCTGATGCATTTGAATATTTGTTTTTTCCCAATGGCGGGCACCTGCCCATAACGGCATTGGCCACTACTAAGGCCAGAATTGGTAGCCAATTTGTTACGGAGGCAACTAATAGGCGGCCACCGCTACTTCCTATGAAGAGAAAGACAATTTTGCATTCATGCCTTCTCCGGGATTCGAACCGGGACCCTTTGGTATCGCAGTCAGGCTTCCCTAACCACTATACCGTCTGGGTGGCTTTTATTGAATAATCAGAGCAACTGAAATCTTCAGTTTGAAGCAAAGAAGAATCTGAATTTTAGCGCTTGTTTCTTCTTTCCAGCAGACGACTGAATAGTAGTTATATTAAGTAGATATGAATTTAACTTGGAATGAAATTCCGCTTGCATTTGGGCAGTGTTCAGAACTTTAACAAAAAGGAGATATTCAAATATTCAATCAAATATTCAATTTTGCAAACTTCTAACAGACTGCTCATTACAGATAACTACAAGCTATTAGAATTCTTATCAAGGTACTCAGATAGATCAGATAGGACGAGACATTTATCGATTACAGCTGGACTTCACAGATCAGATAGGGCGAGACATTTACTTTTATCACAGCTGGATTATATAGTCCTTTTAGTCGCTTCTATCGCCCATTAAAGACAATAATGTGTAATACATAGGAAGGTATTATGGAACGATTTAGAAGGAAATATTGATTGCATAAAGAATATTTTCTTTTTTTATGGAGGGCATTAGCCATTTTTAGGCTTTCGCCACTAAGGCCAGAAGTGGTGGTCATTTTTATGGAGGCACCTAATAAGCGACCATCGTTACCTCCTCAGAGGTGACAGAGAGGTGACAGGTGACAGCAGGGTCGAACACCCGACTTTCAAAGACTAATCCGGTATAGTCCGACAACCGCTCCATACAGAGCATAGCATAGCGACATAACATATTTACAACATAAAATACCTAGCATAACATTACCTACACAACAGGTGGGCATTGCATAGCGACATAACATAGCTCAGCATAGGCATGACATGCATAGCATTTCGACATGACATATTATATAATATAGTCATTGTATAGCGACATAACTTATTTACAACATTAAATACACAACGTAATATAACCTGCACGACAGGCGGACATAGTATAGCGATATAAAATAGTTAAGCATAGATAAGACATAGCATAGGATTAAAACATAGCACAGCATGGCATATGGACATAGCAGAGCGACATAAAATATTGAGGTTACATATTTATAGCATGCAATTCACATTCTGGCATGACCAACACGACAGGTGGACTTTGAATGGCGACATATCATAGCCTAGCATAGACATAACATGACACAGCATTGCGACATGATATGACATAGCATAGCATAAAGACATAACATATTTATAGCATTAAATATACAACGTAACTTAATCTACACGAAAGGTGGACATAGCGTAGCGACATACCATAGCATCTCATAGACATAACATACATAGTATTGCGTCATAACATAGTGATGTCACAAATTTACAACATAAAATACACAGCATCATATAACCAACACTGCATATGGAACATAGCCCTACATATGAACATAGCATGGTAACATATATATTGACAGAACATTTTATAACAAAAAAGATAATAAAAAAGTAAACAGCGTAAAAAGACCTATACAGCAGATGGGCATAGCATAGCGTAGACAAAAGGGATAGAACATAGCATAGCATATATTCATAACATAGCATATAGTCATAACATAGCGATATAACATAGCATAGCATATACATAACTTTGCATAGCATAGCGACATGACATAGCATAGTACACGGACATAGCTTGGCGACTTAACATCATGACATAATGTATTTACAACATAAAATACACTTTGTTACATAATCTACCCAAATTTGCATATAATTATTATACACTTTGCCATATGGCATTCTCTGCATGACGTATCGTACACTTTAAATACATTTCAAATCATAACTTTCTGCTGTATAGTATTAACAACCTTACATGGCCTACACAACATTGCATATAAAAACATGACTTTTTGTGAATTAGCATATAAAGACAACAACAGGACGTCAAGCAGTACATATGGAGCGTTATCAGGCAATAAAAACAGATAATTTACTGACTAGGCGAATATTTTGATTAACACAGCACTTGTCTAAGCGCATCGAGTTTATCCATCATACATTTGATTTTCTTTGTAAATGCTGGTTGCTTTATTAATAAGCGCTTGAATAGGACCTCAGAAGCACTGACACTAATGTGCCATTTCTGTGTTAAAGGGTATTATAGCAAGTTAATGATCGGGCGTCCCTTCATTGCCGCGCACACAGATATTGGTCGTAGAAATGCTTCTGCCTTTGAAATAAGACGAGAAGGGTCCATGACCCGTTATGAAGCGCGTGAGGTAGGGTGCGGTGGTAACCCGGTCTGTCGTCACTCTATGTATAAAGTCATGAGCCCGCCGGCCTTGTTTGATTGTATCCCATTCCTCCTGCCATAGGTTTAGAACTGTTTCGCGCGCTTTCCTTTTTAGGTGCAATTTTCGGTATCAAAATCGAAACTTCTTCTGCGTCCTGATTTTGGGCTGCCTCCTTTGCTTGTTCGTCTGCCTTCTCATTACCCTGGGTTCCAGCCTGTGTCTTTACCCAGGATATGCGGATATTTGAAGTGGGGGTGTTCTCTCTTAGAGTTTATTGCATCTCCGTAATAAGATGTGCTGAATGTCGTGGGTT